TTATGTCTTGCAGTCTCTGCATTATTGTATAGTTTCTATGAGACACTCTTCCCTTCACATGACACGTCAGAAATTTAAACCATCCTTAGTAATATTTACCCAATTTTGGTTGGATATCGGTAACAAACATAAGACACACTCAGAACGGATGCCCTGAAATCATCTTAGTTAGTGGGAATTCCCAGGCACATGTGGAAGCTGCTTTAGGCCACAGTTTGGGAACGTGGACCTGGAGCCCACCCAAGCCCTGTGCTGCCTTTGATTGACCGTGTGACCTGGGCTGAGAGTTTCTTAACTGGGCTGTGCTTCGGTCCTCATGAAAAATGTGAAAATAATCCTAGTACCTACCTCACCGGGTTGTTTGAGGATTACAGGAGTTAGCATTTGTCAACCACTTAGAACAATGTCTGGCACATAGTAAGCACTACAGACATGTTTAATAATTTAAAAATTTATTCTATTATTTAATCCCATGATATATATTATCATAGATCAGTTAAATAACATTTTGAATAAAATATGGTACAAAATGAAAATATGGCAACTTAACAGTTTTTTGAAAACTTACCTTTAAGTAGCTGAATATACTCAATAAATTTTTTAAATTAGGAAAAGTGAAATGATGGCAACATTGAAGGGGAAGTTATTCTTTACTGAAGATCTTCCCTGATGCATTCTAGTCAAGTGCATGTTCAGGCTTTTCATATTCTGATAAGGTTACAGTGGGGAATTTGTCATAGGAAAGCGGCTGCCTCTCCCTTCCTTCCAGGTCGAGGCCCGGTCAGGGTCCCTCCCACAGGCCACAGCAACCCCAAATGAAGGTAGAAATAAACTCATTTTAAAACCAGCTTTTCAGGGCTGCCCCGTGGCCAAGTGGTTACATTCGCCTGCTCCGCTGCTGCGGCCCAGGGTTTCGCTGGTTCGGATCCTGGGCGCAGACATGGCACCGCTTGTCAGGCCACGCTGAGGCGGCATCCCACATGCCACAACTAGAAGGACCCACAACTAAAAATATACAACTAGGTACTGGGGGGATTTGGGGAGAAAAAGCAGAAAAAAAAAAATATTGGCAACAGTTGTTAGCTCGGTGCCAATGTCAAACAAACGAAAAAAAGAATATCCCAGGTTGTTTCCCCATTTTAAGGAAGCATTACAGAAACCGAAACTGGATATCCAGTGTGGGTTTCCCTCCTGGAGAAGTGGGACTCAGTCTCATTCATTCGCTCACATTATAAAGCACTATTATTCTCCAGGCCCTGTGCCAGGGGCTAGAGACACAGTGGAACCAGTCGCGGCCTCTGCCTCAAAGAGCTCCTTGCTTAGGTGGAGAGTGAGGCAAACCAGCACGTCCAGGACAGGATGGTGAGATGAAGCACTGAGCTGATGTGAGCTCAGAGCAGAGGCCCCCAACAGGAATGGAAGGCGGGAGGCGGATCAAGAGGTTTCCCCCTGGTTAACTATGTGCCCCCAGGCCACTACTATGTAGTCTCTTATCCCCGTGTCTCAAGTGACCAGTGGCACTCTCTTGACAAGTGGCAGGAAACAAAGCTGTGCTGGGAACAAAACTAACTTCCGGGGTGGGAGTAAATCGACCATCCCCAGTAGGCCGTGCTGTTCATTTTTGCACCTGTGTGTGATCCTAGATTCCAGAGCTGAGCCTGAAAGCAGTTTGCCACTAGTCTTTGAATTAATGATAAATGACATGCATGCCTTAGGACAGAGCTTCTCAAACTCAATGTGCACTCAGCCTGGAGATTTTGTTGAAATGCAGGTTCTGATTCAGTTGGTCCGGGGCTGGCCTGACACTTGGATTTCTAACAAGTTCCCAGACAAGGCCTGTGCAGCTGGTCTGGGGACCGTATTTTGAATAACATTTTAAATAAAATGTTATTGTATTTATTTAAGGCCAGTGCTCTCTGCCATCCCCCTTGACACCGCTGCGAACCGGGACAAGCTTCTCAGCGCCTCCTAAGAACGATCCAGCATCGGGCACTGAGTCTTTTGAAAAGCAGGGCGGGATCCTGAGCATTGACATCAAAATAGGGGCCGCAGCCACAGACCTGCCATCGAGCCAGGTAAGTGTAATAAAGGAAGCAGCTGACATGATACAAGGCCAAAGGCATAACCGTCTGAGGTCCAAGAAGGGAACATAAATCATGAAAGAAACGTACTTGAAGGTGACTTGCTAATTAAGAAGATGAAAAGCTGGTTTTAAAGGTTGGCACCTGAGCTAACAGCTGTTGCTAATCTTTTTATTTTTTTTCTGCTTTTTCTCCCCAAATCCCCCCAGTGCATAGTTGTGCATTTTTAGTTGTGGCATGTGGGACGCCTCCTCAGCATGGCCTGATGAGCGGTGCCATGTCCGCACCCAGGATCCGAACCAGCGAAACCCTGGGCCGCTGAAGCCGAGCTCGCGAACTTAACCACTTGGCCACGGGGCCAGGCTGTGCCCTCCCCCGGCCCCCCCAACCCGACCTGGGATATTCTTGTCCAAGAACCAGAGGGCGGGGAATCCTCCTCGGGCATGTTTCTGACAGGAGTTCCACTCTGACCTTTCTTGCCAAATGAAACTTCAACTCCACCTAAGGCAAGTTGATGAAGACGGGGAGGAAAGGGCGCGAAGGAAGAACCCAGCTCACTGAGTCAGTTCTAACTGTCACCACTTAATCACATCCAGTAGCAATTGAAGTTTCAATGCAAATACCCCCAAGCACCCAGCCTCTGGCATTTCCAGGCCCCTTGTGAAGGTCTTCAGATGGCTCAGACTGGAGTGCATTCCCTCTTTAAAGAAAAACTCTTGACCTATAAAGGAAATTTATCCTGAGGATGAGGCAGGCAGAAGGAATCAAGGAACTTAAATTCAAGGAAGTTGCTGACGTGACTTTTTATTTCCCCTCCTGTTGCTTCCCTCTTTTGCAAGGCTCCCTTCCTTCTATCTGTCAGGACGGGGCCTTGAACTGCGGGAGAAAATCAAGGGCACAAAAGGCTCTCAGTCTGCCAAAATATTTTCTTTGAAAACTTTTGTTCTTGTTTGCTTAGAGTTTTGAGGAAGCCTTTCCACAGATTAGAATGTTCCAAAGTTTTTCTTTAGGGAACTCCAGGCTCCAGCCACCCAACAAATGGTATGAAGGAAAAACAGCAGGTTTAAAAAGAAAGGAGATGGAGAAACAGGAAAAAGACCTGGAGAGTAAGAAACCAGGCCCAGCTACTTCGAGATTTCTGCAAACCATGGAATCCACCCCGAGGCTTGGGGGCCTGAAGGGCAGAAAAGCTGAAGCCTAGAAAGGTGGGAGGCTGGGCCTGAGTGGGTAGGACGAGGCTCCTTCCTGCCGTGACCACGGAAGGTGACACCTCTACACAAAAGCTGGTCACCAAGGAGGCTGAGGAAGAGTGGGCCTTGTTCCTCTGTCCCGTTTCTCCAACCCTCTAGCACAGAACTGGAGGGACACGGCACAAATTCACACCATCACAGGGGGAATAAAGAGGCATGTTGGATTGAGAAGCGCTAAGGGCGTCATTCCAAATTTGGAGCCAAGCTTCAACCAACCTTTGTTCTTTTGGATCCAAGGTGGCCACCCCTTCCCCCAACTCCTCTCGCGTCTTCTACTTACCAGCTGAGAGTGTGCAACCTAATGGACATCCTTGTACTACATCTTCTAACACTTGTGTTCAAGTGCTCTGGGAGGGACAAGGAATTTCAGTGAAGGGCATGAAGCACTTTGAGGGAAGACGAGACTGATAGACAGGCCACCACAGTGCTCAGCTCCAGATGACTTAAGCTGCAGGAGGGGACAGACCTGGCTCTGACCAGTCAGTCCAGTATAGAATAATACTCTTTATATATGAAAGACCCACTAAATATTGGCTCCTTTTTGGTCTGAGAGGAATGTGATCGTATTGACTTGACTTGGACATCATTTGTGGATCAGGAAATGGGTAATATAATGTAATATTGTTTCCTTAAATGAAGCCAAAGGACTTGAATTGTATTTATGCCCCATTCTGCATTTTCTAGAATGCCCTCAACTTTCCTTTACTCCTTTTCCTACCTATGCAAGGGATGCATTTTAGGGATGAAAACACAGAGATACAGAGCACCTAAACCCAAATGTCATAAGTTATTGATTACTTGTGAAGTCTTCCGTTCCTGTAGAATCGTTCAGTAGACTGAGCTGATGGACACCTTGATGGAGATCAAACCTCTATGATCACTTTCACACTAGAGCTGGTAACAAAATAGCCCGAGTTAGAGGTGGTGTGCATTTAAGACATTAACCACTTGAAAACAAGAGTATATTAGATAGGTTCACCACCCGCCTGTCCTGCAGGTGACCCTGGACAGGACATTCTCTCTGGACTTGTTTCTTCCTGTGTGAAATACAGGATGTTATGCAATAGCTTGTATTTTTCTTTTGCACTATGTGCCTGGTACCCTATGCTCTCTATGTGGGTTGTCTTGTGTAATCTTCACAACAGCCCAGTTTATAAACGAGGAAGCCAAGGCTCAGAGGTGGGCACCTGCTAAGCAATGTTAGTGCCCTCCCACTCCTGAGCCCACGTCCTCAGGAACTTCCAGGATTATCGGTGAGATCTTGCCCAGCTAAATAAAATGTGAATTCAGCATACTCCTCTCGGCCAAAATAATTTCCTAGAGTGGAAGTAAGGGTCCTGCAAGAGTTTAAACCAAGAGGATGAAAGTCAATGACAATGGAGAGCCTTCCAGATGTAGGGCACGCAGCTTGTTGCCACCCCAAGCCTGAGACTGGTGTTTCCTCTCCTCAGGCAACAGCCTCCCCTCCCACGCACAGGGCCCCGGGGCTGCCTGCAAAGCCTGGCGGGGAGGCTGGTGTACAGTGTGAGAAGCTGCTTTCCGAAAGGGTTCCGGGGCTGGCTGCGGTGAGGGCTCCCACACGACTCTCCACCTCCACCTCCACCTGGGGATCAAATGACTCTCAGAATAGGAGTCCCACGCGGCCTGAAGAAAACGATCAGGACAGTGCTGTTTGTAAAAATCTGTTTAATAAATATACATCTTCAAAGTACCAAAATAATTACCAACAAAATACACTATGTACACCATTTACAGGAGGGTGACACAAACCTTGACAGGTAGCAACTTTTAACCCCACACCACCAAAAGGTTCAACAGTACACCTGATCATTACATGTCACAGGACACAACTGGGCTCGGCCACTGAATCCATGGAGGTTTGATCAAGAAGCACAATAAATAAAACGTAGTCCTTTCATCGGATTTTGGGTCACCTTCTCGAAAAGCCTCACGAAGGTGAAGTGTAAAAGGAGTTTTCTTTGAATTCCAAGGATCTTTCTTGTCCCCCCTTCCAAAGTTCACAAAAATGACAAAAGGAGGGCTGATCCCCAGTCAAACGTTTCAGCCCAGGCAGTGTGGTTCTAAGGAGTACACCCTTTTTTTTCTTTTTGCTTTTTTTTTAGAAAAATAAAACTCTCTTTTTGTACAAATCTACAAGTCCATGTTCTTTGAGACACTTTCCGAAGCTCATAGCGTCAGGCGCTGTCCTCCAAGCACACAGTCATCATAGGGCAGCTAAAAACAGAGGAAAAAAGGCACGTTAAACTTCCAAAGCTCGGCCGGGGTGCTGGGATGGTGGTGGGCGGTGCCAGTGGGAATAACTCAGGTATTCTTGGACTCTTTACTCTATATCCCAAATATAAGTTAACTTCACGGGCTGAGGGAGTTTTCCTTCAATGCTCCTCTCCTTAGAAAAGAGCACAAAAGAAAAGACACTCTCTTGGGACACTGGCTATGCACACGAAGGTCTGAGAACTTCACTATGTTGAGACCTTCAGGTAAAAAGTAGCTCTAGGGGCCTGGGAGGGTGGGGGGAGAACAGCCACTCTCACTGCTTTTTGCAGAGCAACAAAGAAGCTGAGACTCACCTCGTCCTCCGTGAACTCTGACTCCGTGTCATAGCTCTCCTCATCCTCGCTCTCTGGCAGCATCTGAAGGTTTTCTAGGGTCAGCTGGCCCAGCTGCTGCTGTATCCGGGTGCTCGGGCGGCCCCAGGTAAGCTGGTACGGGGAGTAGCCCTGGTAGGTGACTCTGTTGACGTCAGCCCCACATTTCAACAAGAGCGACACCAGGTCAGGATTCTGCAGGTCCACAGCGAGATGGAGGGCAGTTCGGCCATTACAGGGCTCCTGAAAACGAAAGGCATTTGGGATGTTTACGGATGAGTTTGGAATTTCTGCTTGCAACGAGAGCACGTGAAGTCTTATTGAGGAGCCGGATGCACTCCACCTGGAGGCATGAAGCGCTCACCTGAGCATTGACATCAGCACCCAAGGACACCAGAAGCTCCACGATGCCCAGGTAGCCGTGGATAGAGGCTAGGTGCAGACACGTGTGGCCTGGAAGAACAAAAGGAAAAAAGTGTAACCATCTGTTCCAACCCTCACGTCTCAAGCAGAACCTTTCCCCTATTCTTTTAATGGACAAATTCTTCTTAACTTGAAGAACCCAGAATCTGAGTTCTGAATGAACTTTATAAAGGCATCAGATAGGCCTTTTGCCTACATATTTTCTGAACCTTTCACACAGTGAGAGTTTAAGCTCTTGCCTAGACTCCTTCAGCTGGCCCCCCTCTCCCTTGTCCATGTCACCGGCCCTCGGATGAGCAGGGCAGGCAGACGTACCGTTGTAGTTAGTGGCCTGCAGGATGGAATGGAGGTGCGGGGTTCCGTAGGACTGAGTCAGGACTCCCACGCTGGCCAGGCAGCCCTGCTCACAGGCAAGGTGTAGGGGGGTATTTCCTCGAAAGTCTCGGAGCTCAGGATCACAGCCAGCTTCCAGAAGTGCCTTAGCAATTTCTGGCTGGTTGGTGATCACAGCCAAGTGGAGTGGAGTCTATACACAGAAGAGAGAACAGAAAAAGGATGAGTCAAGGACCAAACCTACAGTCCCTTGAACCCCAGAGATCTCCTGCTTGTGGATGCTGCTCCTCCCAGGCAGGTACAACGGACAAGGCAAACAAATACCAGAGCCCCCAGGTGGGCTTCCTAAAGGCCTCACCAAATCAATGGAATGCTTTACTCTAGGATATTGGCCGACTCAAAGGTCAAAGGTCAGGGCAGGCAAGGACTAGTGACTGTTCATTTATAAAGCACTGGGAGCAGCTGTGCTAGATCCGGCTTCACCGAGGGGCAGGGGCGCGGGGCCGGGCAAGCGGCGCACCTGCTGCAGGTTGTTCTGGAAGTTGAGGAACGCCAGGTCTCCCTTCACTTGGCGGACCACCTCCATGGTCAGGGCCTTCTCTTCGTGGATGATGGCCAAGTGCAGGAACCTGAGGGGAAGAGAGGGAAACCCCCAGGGCCGGTGAGTGCAGTGCGTGGGGCCCGGGAGGCGCGGGCTGCGGGGGATTGCGCAAGGCCGGGGTTTCGGGAGGCCGCGGCCGCGGTGTTTTCCGCGAGGTTATTATGAGCCGAGTGTTCCTGGCAGGCGCCCAGGGACTTTCCGGGCCCCGCCCGCCGCGGGCGCCCGCCAGCCCGCCCCGCCCGCCGCCGCCCGGAACGCCCTGTACTTCCCCTCCCGGCCGCGCGGCGCCCGCCGGCGGGCCTGGAGCTCCGCCCCCCTTATGCAAGCGGGGACTTCGCGTCCCCGCCGCCGCCCCGCCCCCGGTCCCGGGGACAGGGACGCGGGGGGTTGGGGGGGGTGCGCGCTGCAAGGCAGAGCTGCGAACCGCGGCCCCGAGAGCGACCCCCAACCCTTGCAGCCCCGCCGCTCTGCACGGCCTCGGGGCGTGCATAACCCCGGGCCCCAGGCCCCATCGCGCGACCCGCGGCTCGGGCTGCAGGCCCGGCGCCCCCACCCCGGCCCCGCCACCCGGGCCCGCGCCACTTACGAGTCTCCGTCCTCGGTGAGCTGCTGCTTCCAGGGTTCGGCGCCCCGCGGCGCCTCCTGCGGCTCCAGGCGGATCTCGCGCAGCTCCTTCACCATCTGCTCGTACTCCTCGTCCTTCATGGAGTCCAGGCCGCTGTCGTGGCGGTCGTCCAGCAGCCGCTCCTTCTTGAGCGCGTCCCGCGGGCCCTCCATGGCCCACTCCTGGCCGGGCTCGGCGGGCTGAAACATGGCGCGGCGGGGCCTCGGCGCGGTCCCGGGGGCGCTCGGCCGCAGGCTGCGCTCTCGCTCGCTCGCTCGCTGGCAGCGTCGACCCTGGTGGCGGCGGCGGCGGCTCGGGACTGTTGTGGGCTCGGCAGCGCCGCCGCGCCGCCCTATAAACGCTGGCAGGGGATTTCTCCGGGGCGGGGTCAGGCGCGGGGAATTTCCAAGCCAGTCAGACCAGAAAAGAGAACTGGCCTCGTCCTCTGCTAGGGGAAAAAGAACTCTAAACCCTGAGCCGGGGTTCATCGGAGAAACTCCCTGCGATGAGCCACTGGGGTCATGTACAGGGAACTTTTTGATGAAGGCTGAGTGGCTGGAAAGTCCTCCCGGCCAGGCCCCCTCCCCCGGTACTTCCCTGCAGCCTGCACTCAGTAATCCTGTCCTTCTGCAAGAATCCTTCTTTCCCTGGGGTTTCCCACGATCGATTTGATTTGGGGTCGTCGGCTGCCGAGATCCCAAGGACGCAGACCTGCTGGGCGGTTCCTCATTGGGCTTTGCCAACCTGCCGGTCCTTTCCGATTCTTGATCTTTTGAACACGCGAGTGGAAATGATGGCTGGGTGTAGGGATTCGCTTCCCCAAAGTTCCCTCTGCCGAGAAGGACGCGCTGGCCGTTAGAGGGTCGAGTGCAGGCTGCCTCTGCGTTCCTGCCCATGCCAGGCTCTCGGCCGTGCGGGACGCGGAGCCCTCCCCCAGACCCCTCAGGCCGATGCTGTGAGAGCCTTGGAGTTAACAGTCTAAATGCTTGGAGAACCCTCAAATCATTTCCTCTGGATTAACAATCCTGTTGCCTGGGGGAGGGGGCAAGCACTGTGCCCTGGATGCAGGAAAATGCTGAATGTGACCATAACTTTTTTCAAGTAGAGCAAGGTGTAAATCTTTGTGGTAGAAGTTGTAGATACCTTGCAGTAACAGTAATCACTGAGGTCGTGTTCTCTGATTTGCACTGTGCTGCTGCAGAGAATGGATCCTGAGCCTCCTGCTGGATGCCCAGCCAGGCGACTTTCCAGAAGCATTTGGAGACAGAGGCTGAAGAATGGGTTGAGTAGTGTCTTATCCAGGATCAGGCCTTATGGATGGCTAAGAAAATAGCTGCTAGGCTGCTGCAGCGGGCTCAAGGCAGCCCAAACATTGCCCCTGCCCCTGCTGCCTCCTTGCTCTCCTGTGCTGGAGGAGGCAGCCATTGAACTTGTCCATGCAACCCCAGTAGCCACGCCAGGCTCCCCATCCTCTGGTTTCACCTGCAGAGACAGAACTTATGCTCTCTGCCCTACCCCTACCTCCTAGCCAGTAAGCCCTCAATTGAATTCATCTACTTCTAGAACTGGTCCAGGAGAGAGAAAGCAACTTTGGTCTGAGATCTTCAGAATTAGCCCCAGGAGGCCTCTACAGTTTTGCAGGGATTTCTGCAATCATCTTTAACTTGACCAGGGGTGGGACTAACCAACCCTTCTCTCCTCACCTCCCCTGCGTGGCCCACAGTATCTGAATGTGGGGATCTGGGTCAATGGGGCGGGGGGGGTGAGAGACAAAATATGAGGGGGAAAAAAGTAAAGAGATAAAACCTTTGGGGTAGTAATGATCACATGTTAAAATGAAAACGTCCCGGAGATAGACCCCATTCTCTGCAGCATGTGATACTCGAATATGCAATTACGAGGCAAGGTGGAACAGCGACTGGAAGCTGGAGATCGCAATTCCAGGCTCTACCTTGAATTAACTGCACGTTAAGTTGGAGAGATCAGTTAATTTTGCTGTGGTATACCTGTTTTTATAGTAATAAGATTGGATTTAATGCTGTTTAGAGGGTTTTTTTTTCCAGTTTAAAAATTGTATTACTTGGCCACACATGCATTTATAACTCTGTGTCACGGGGGCTATGTCTCTTGGAAATATCACAGCGTAAATTTTGGAGAGGACTCAAACGCTTTACGCAACACATTGTTAGTTCTCGAACTAATCTTGTAACATAGGTATTGCTCCCGCTTTCCCAAAAAGAAACTGAAATGCAGAGAAATTTACCTAGGCACCCCATGGCAGTTTATTTCTATCCTAACATATTAATCATTTGGCCAAAGCAGTCAAAGTATTAACATTTTTGAAAACGAGACCGAATACACTATAATTTGGAAGCTACTCAAAGTACTTCCTCCTCCAGTTGTTAGGTAGAATGGAGGGCTGATGTCCCTCTGTCTGGGGATAATGACTTCTGTAAAAAACGTACAGAAATGTCCAATTCTAAGTGCCTCACTTAGAAAGGATACCTTAGAAGAGAAGTTTTAGCTGCAGGTTTAAAAATGATCATTAAAAAGAAAATCATGCATAAGTAAAAAGCATCTCAGGAATAAGCATCTTTGCACATCCTTTTTTTCTGGTTTTATGTCCCTGAGCCTTTCAGGACCTGGTGGTCTTTATTCCTGGTTGTTTAGTGTGACACCTAGTGGTAAGACGCAGGCGTCCCTGATATGTCACATGCTTTTGGAAATTTCGGGAGGTGCTGGGCCTTGATGACCTGGCCCTGTGGTGGGGTTTCCCAAGGAGGCACCTTTTGTTTCTCTGCAGCCTAGGAGACAGCTTTGAGTAATGTGATCCAACAGGTTTTCTCTCTATCATAGATACCTGTATATGGTTTAGATCAACAAACAGTACATCCCGGGCCATAAAGAACATACCTGGAAATCAGAGAACACAAGCAGCTGGGGCAGAAGAAGACACCAAAGCTGACTTTTGGTTTAGAAAGAACTTCATGGACTCTCAGGCTCTTAGAGTTCTGCCCACCTCATTGTCAAACATTTTAGCTAATCTTGACCACTGAAGATGTTAAAACCTTACACTACTGGTTGTTAACGTCATTTGGCTTTTTTCTTTTTAATGCAAAAGGCAAAAGAATGAATCAGTTGACCTTGAAGCTGCTTTGTGCTTTAGTCCAGGATGCAGCCGTAGGGAATGACAGGATGGCCAGTGAAGCTCACTCTCTTCCTGGGTGGGAAATGCACAGCCTGGACTGAATGTACTGGCTGACATGCCCCATGGCCTGGCCGTGTGGAGATTTTTGTGTAAGTTCAACTGTTCCAACATACTTGGCTTTTCTTAACATCATGGGCAGTTGCACTGGCCGATTAAACTGAAATTGTTTTAGCCCTAGCAAATTGAAGTCCTAAAAAAGGTTACCCGTTGCTCAATGCAGCCAGGCTGTAAGGGAGAGTGGCCATGACAGAGTCCTGAAGGGCCAGCCAGGCACAGTGCTGATGGACAGCCCCCCTGTGTGGTTCTGGGTTTATATTCTGCTTCCGATCCCAGGCTCAGTCTTCTTTCCTCCTGTGGTGGTTAGCAACTGCCTCCATCCATCCGACTCAGAACCTGGAGCTCCCAAGCTCTGGATCTTTCCGCACAGAAAAACAGCTGTCAGAACCGTCATTTGTAGTGACTTAAAAATAAAACTGTCAACGCCTTCATGTGTTTCTTTTGCTATGAAGCCTGCAGTTTAATGGGGATGAAAGCTTTAAAGGGTCTAACGCCAATATCTACCCATAGGGGCCAGGCAGCTTTCACAGATGAGTGAAGCCGGCCATGTGAGTCCAAGGGGAAGTGGTGGCACCTCTCATGGTCTAGGCCTGAAAAAGCGTGTCCCTTACACTCAGCTCAGACAAGTTTTGCCAAGCAGCACTGTGAGCGCAGTACTGATATTCCATTGTTAGAGAAAAAAATCAGAAAATGGATTTCGATGTGAAGTTTTTCAAATTTTAAAACACGTGAAAAACAAACAAAATGCGCTTCTGTGTCTTTTGGCTAAATCAAAAGATAGAGGCCCTGAGTTTACAACCTCATTTTCAGGCAAGGTCTGACGTCTTCCCGGGGCCTTGGCGGAAGGCACCCACCTGCGGCTCCCTGGCATCACAGGGTCTCTGCTCCTCCGTGTGACCGGAGGCTGGGGGTGGAGTGTGTCTGTCCAGGAAGTTCAGTCTGTTCCTGGCAGGCAGGGTTGGAATCAGGGGCTCTAAGCCCTGAAAGGAGAGCTACCCCTCCTCTGCTCTGCTGCACTGCAAAATCGGTATAAATAGCTCCACAAAGTTCTGATTTATCTCACAAAGACTGCTTAGGGGGTGGTGTTTTTTAACTCATTCTCTCAATAAACATCTCTTTGGGGTATACCTGCTCTGCTGGCACCCCAACCATGTGCCCAGTCCGCCTGTTGGATAACCTGCTGCCGGGGAAGGAGAGGCCTGCACGTGTCACCCTTGGTCAAAATTCCTGGCTCTCCCTTTCCGCTGTTTGTTGGCGGTAACCAAGTAATATCTGTAGGTGTGGAGGGTTGATCATGTTCTGTTTTGTCCGGGACGAGCAGCTGGATCAGGAAGGGGGCGGAGGTTTAACAGCACATTGCTTCCTCTGCATGCTGGTGTATTTGCTGTTTTGGGGGCAGGCTGTAAATTCATTCTGAGTGTAGTCAGGATACGAGGAGACTGGTACTCAGCAGGATATGGGACATAAATGATGGGAGGACCCTGCTCTTGCACACTATAATTAGGTCAGGGGCACATGATCCCTCAGCATCGGAGGCAAAATCCGCCACCAGAAACTATATGGGGATGTCGACCTTGCTGTCCTCGATGGTCTAAGGTCTTAGGAATGGTCTAGGACAAAAGTAAACAAAATCATAGCTGCTAAAAGATTTGCTTCAGATCGCAAATAGAGTGAAGATTTAGGAAACTGGATCCTCAGCCCTTTCTTGTGATCACTATGATAATGTCTTTCCCAACCCTCCTTTTGAGCCTCTGTTCGCTGGAGTAGAGCCCCAGGTTACTTGGATAAATATGAGAAATTGAGATGTCTCGGAGGCTTATCTCTGATGCTGTTAATGGGTGCTACTATAAAAAACTGATTCTGAAATTATTCTTAGGTTGACTTTTAAATACTGAAAGCAAATCAGAGACAGAGAAAGAAGGGTCACAAACAGAAGCCATGAGCAAGGAGAAAGGGGGATATTGGCCTGGAACATTTTTCCTTTGTTATCATATCTCAGCTGTCAGAGTTCAGCCCCATGACTGTGCCATATTCCCTCTGGATACGTCACTCAGCTT